GTACATAAGTTCTTACCCATGAGGGACACAGCCACCCCCGTATCTACTAAACATACTACTTCTTGATCATTCACTCGCAACTTCGAATACACAACCGCCTTCGCCGCCTTCTCTTTGACACCCACCAACTCAGCGACGGCCTCGAAGTCACGTAAGAATCTCCGTAAGTCTCGTTTATGAAGGAAAATCAACATATATTTATAGATTTTAATTTACATTATTGTAGATTAATGTTAGTAGAAAATACATTCTTTTGATTGGTTGTTTCTCACACAAAGTTAACCTTGCATCTCTTTGTGGCTGTGTAAGTTCATCTATGTGTTAACTGTATCCGCCTACGCAAAGTCTGCTGTCCATCTTTGACCTTGTTTTCACATGACTAATATTTGAGACATAAACATTGACCTCAATTACTGCCAACCAATTTGGCTAGCAACCATCTCTCACCACAGCCAAAAGTAATGGTTCAAGGACTGAGCCAACCTGGTTGTGGAAATGGGAAATGTTGAGATGCCCATTCATGACTGGACTTTATAACATTAACAATGTCCTTTTCAGAAAACTGGTAGTGGAAGTGAACCGTTTCACTTATCTTTAAAGACAAAGATCAAGCAACATTCCCCGACGTGATATAATGCCTGCAAATATACATGTTTATTTCATGCCCTTATGATATAAGCAGTGCAACGTATTGAAAGTGACGTGTGCAATATCTAGGCAAAATAGGATGCAAGTATCCGTGGAAATGTCACAGAGTATTCCACTCACCTATGCTCTGAGATTGTAAGATTGAAGGTGGTGATTTTTCTACCGCATCTACTGGTAATTCTATTCTCTTCATTGGCTTGCCGTTAAAATTTATCTTGCTTTCATGGGTGACTATATGGTATATCCTTTCTTTGATGTGGCAACACACCAGCCCTGTGGGTATTGGGGTGTTTCAGTAAATAGGCCAAAATATATCAGCATGACGCGATGAAAAATCACGCACACACGTTTAAATTTTGAGGTTATCACCTCCCTAAATCCATTTCACTGCGCGGGCATCCGTATCAAGCAACATTTTCTGATGAACGTGCAGCAAATGTACTTCAGTTCAAGAGTTTAATGCCACCGATAATATGCACGTCAGAAAGAAACCTATGACGTAAAACGTCATCCAAAAAACACCTTAAAAATGTTACTTGTTACTAAATCACCATAGCAACCGCCTAAGACGCCACGATTGGAGGGGCCCACTTGCGTTTTCACTTCTGCCATGTCTTAGAATGTTTAAACAAATCCGTTTTAAAAGACAGGTACTTCTTCCTCGTGACAGATTTGTGAAAACTACGTGAGTTTTGCAGCTAAATACACTAGATATTATTGCTTAACACTTCATAATGAATCTTAGAGTTTAATTAGTGGTCATATTTACTTTTAACACTTCTGAAATAGTCAAAAGTCCCAAACATGCAGATGCAGAGAAAACTCCCAGGGTAGCGGAAATTATGCTACTGGTATCCAAGTTGCGTACGCTTCTATTCGCTTCATATTATCATATGCTGTCGCCACACAAGCCCTCAGTAACGTTCCGCGTAAGGTGTCTTCGCTAGAGGGCCCAGAACGCCATTAAACTTCGCAGCAACCTTGAATCCCCTCAAGAATATCCATGTCTTCTTCAGAAAGTACAGGCCATAAGATTTTCACGTATTAAAAGGCAGCGACACCAGATGTGGCAGCAGAAGGTAAGACAAGGAAGAGCTGTTAATATACATATACAGCATACATTCGTTAACCAATCACTGAGCGTGTGATTTTGGTTTACATTAAACGACGTGAAGTAGCATGTTGAAATAGTGAAGCGTTCTCTTTTCTACTTCATGTAGCTGAGAGCCTCTCGACCCACTATGAATCCTCCCCATGTATTCTCTCCCCAAGTTTTGATTTCATATCGCTCCTCATACATTTTTATGAGGTGATTTGAGGTCATTAAATGAGAATAGAACTTAGGCACTGTTTCAGGGTGTTGTTTCATTATGGAGAAAATTTTATTTCGATAAAGTCCCAGCGTAATACAGTAAATATTACTGCATAACCCTGTGAGACTATCATCTGAGGTCTTATCCATTACTATCTACAGTTATCCATAAAAGTCTTCCTTCTCCTGTTCTGAGTTGTAGCATTGGATATTTGTAACCTTCCCTCCTTTCGAGTTGAATCCTGATGTCATGATCCTGAAGGAGATAGGTTCACACTGCACGGGAGCTTTGGTCTATTTTAATGACTTCATAATGGTTTCCCCTTCGGTATGCTTGTGTTTGTTTTGTGGGTGACTGGAGTGGATTATTACCTCTCCATCTAACAATTTGGAGAGTCCACATTCGTTCCACCTGCCCTCAAAGACTCCCAGTGCTTAAATGTCCTATCTTCTCATTTCTTTTTCAACCTAGGTAGTCTTCTAAGTCTCGCACATCGTGCAAACGTTCCAGGGACTCATGCTTGTTCCAGATTCCACCGAAAGTACATGCGCTGGCTGATTGACTTACCAACGGCTTTCACCAGCCCCTATTATTCCGTCTCTCTGATCCCAGTGGAGAATAATGTTTTCTGCAAGGACTTGATCGATTTTCCGTTGGTAGAGTAACTACTCTCACGCAAAACACTCCCTCTTTTCCCTGGCTTAGAATCAGCTATGAAACTAGCGAACTAGGCAACGTTAAATCAGAATAAATGTACCCGAATTCTAGTTGACCGGTGATCTTCAGTACTGAAAGACATATTGCTTGGTCACACAGAAGACAGAATCATGGGTCAACTGGAATTTCAACGCATTTACCTCAACCTATCTGCACAGTGAAGCAGCACGTCCTTTACCTCCAGTCCTCTCTTCCCATAAAATGGTGCAATTGACAATCATCTCAACTACTCAATAACATGACATAAATGAATTATAGGTGGTCTATATCATTTTAATCAATGTTTACAACAGTGCACCGCACGCTGCAGTCATTCATCTTGTATATAACACATAAAGCTCCTGAGACCAGGAGGCTCTATACTGTCGATAGTGACACAGCTAATGCATAAATTTGTCAGTCAAGGGCGAACTTCAAAATGCATCTAGTTCAGAATGCAGTTGCTCAACCTACAGGAATTTTCTTCCACATGAACTTCAGAAATAAGACATCAAGTGAGGCACCAAACCTGACTGTTAACGACGACCAGGCGAAAGCAGAAGCAATAGCAAACGACTTCTTCGAAGCCTTTTGGTAGGAGTCACCACTCCATAAAGCTCTAACCGCGGTCGCTTCAGAGGAATACAGCACAGACTCCAGGAATGTTGACGATTCGTATTCCATCCCCTAAAGTAAGCAGATGCAGTGAATTCATTGAGGTCTGATGAACTACATCCAGGGCTTCTCGAAGAGCTATCAGCAAACATAGCCAGCCCATTGACCACTATCTTCAAGCAAACTTTCCTGGATGCAGTGCTACGACGCGAATGGTAACCTTCATCCACTAAGCACACTCACTGTTGTTCAAACTACAGACCCATAAGCCTTATCTGCACCTTCAGTAAGATCCTAGAAAGAACCATCAAGATAGCTATCATGGCATATCTGCAAAACAATAACTTGTTACCCATAGCACAGCATGGTTTCTGAGGAAGACTCTTGCCTGGAAAACCTTACTGCAAGAGAAGTCTGTGTCAAGTGAGGGGACAACAGTAGACTCGCCGACATTGTTTTCATAAACTTCATCTAGGTTTTAGACAAAGTACCTTATATGAGACTCTTCATGAATTTGGAAATTCTCGGAACTGAGGGTGGCTTACTAACCTGGATTAGGAAACTCCTGGTAGGTAGTGGACTGTCAATCAGGATCAATTCAAAAGTCTCTTCCAGGATAACAGCACCTAGTGGGCCATTCTTATTCATCTTTTACATCAGCGAGTTACCTTTGCTTATCGATTCTCATATCATCCTACACGTAGATGGCTTAAAAATTTGAAGAGGCCTGGGAACTGATGATGACACGCTCACGTTGAGAACAGACCCAACGAATTGTTAGGTTCGTCCAAAGAATTGATGCTCCCAATTGACATAACAAAGTGGACACGCAAACGTCAGCTCCTACGAACTAGAGGGAATAACACCCCCTCATTTTGGGCTGAAGTAGATCTAGGCGTCATAGTCAGTCGGAACTTAGAAACTACAACACCCTGTCGCACCTCGCCATCTCGTAGTTTCGGACCATTACAGGCAATACTCAGAGCGCTTACTAGAGCCGCAAGAGATATCTTCACTTCCTCCTTTACAACTCCGGTACGTTCAAGACTGGAAAAGTATATCCAGGTAGCTGGTCCTTGCCCTTAATAGGACTCACATAGTATAGAAAGGGTTCAGACAGGTAACACATATGATTCATGGCATGGCCAGTTTGTAATATGATTAAAGGCAAGACAGCCTGTATCTCTTCTCTTTGTCATACCGTAGTCTATGGGAAGAACTGATTAAAATTTTAAATTAAAACTACAGACTAGATCTATTTTCTGTCTGCTTTCCCACCAAGTCGTAGCACTTCGCAGGATAGTTCAAAGACCGGGGAGAAACTAAATCGCCGTGAAGTACCAGTTTTCATATCAAGTCATAAACTCATGGAACCGACTCCCATAAGAAGTAGAGTCAACGAACTAAATCAACTCATCCTAGAAAGGTTTGGAAAAACACAGAAGAGGATTCATATAGGCTCCAAGGTGTCTATCCTCAGTCAACAAATCTGAAATCTGTATCCGAAATTTCCGTACTGTCAAATACTTTTGCGCACGATTTTATCCATGAACCCTTCTTGGATATGAGTTGATAAGGATAACCATTATTTCACAATAATGTCTGAAGTGACACAGTAACTACACCATTCCTACTTCAAACACAGAAAATCTCACAAATTTATCGTTAACTATACACTATAAATCGACCAATAACCCATTGGAAGAATGCACCAATAGGAGTGAATCCAGCCGAAACAACTCGGAACTGACTGTAGTCATTCCCCCACATGGGCATAAGATGGACGTGGTTGGTGAGTCACGAGTTGATCCTCCGAGTATGCAAGACAAGGAGAACATTATTGTAGACAAGGAGCCCAACCTAGAAAAGATAAGTGGGGAGATTGTACGCCAGTGTGAATTTTATTTCTCGGATGCAAATATTCTAAAGGATCTGTTTCTGCTTAAGCAAGTTAAGTCATCCACCGATGGATGGGTGAAATTGAATATAGTTGCAAACTTCAAGAAAATGCAAGCGTTGTCAACAGACCATGATTTTATACGGAAGGCACTTGCAACCTCAAGTAAATTAGAGTTGTCAGAAGATGGAGAGAGAATACGCCGTCGTGATCCTCTGCCGGAGTGGGACAAGTCCGTTTATGGACGTTCCATCATATTATCAGACTTCCCAGATGATGCTGATGTAACCTGTGAAGGCATAAAACAATTCTATATGGTAAGATTTTCATCCCACTGCTCTGTAGGAGATATGTAGATATATTAACAGGTAGGTGCCAGTGGGATGCGTTCATAGATTTAAGCGCTGGAACTCTTAGGTCCAAGTACTACTCCATCCACTTTACTGTCTGCAACTGGCTATTGTTAGCAACCTTCACATTAGGTGTAGTATTTGGAGAACTCCATTTTCAGGGAGAGCTATAGCTCTATTACTATAGTAATAGTGTCATCAGATGATTAATAGTCAAGAATTGTTGACCGACTATGCTTTCAGCGGCATTTAAGTCTTTTATGCTGGCTTCTTAGCTCGTGACTTTTGACATTCTGCCAACAATTTCACCCAATATTTCAAGTAAGACCACTATCTACATCAACTGGTAAGATTGTCATCACTTGAGAAATCAAAGTACGGCAAGAATCATATGCAGAAATAGTGAACGACATATGTGTACTGGTGTAGTGACTTTTGTTTCAAACCACTTTATTTCCTATTCAAAGAATTTAATCCAGACGATAAGTGATTCACGCTTTACTTATATGATTTCCAACCACTCCATATTAAAGAGTCACTTCATCGTAGAGCATATTTCATCTTGTGTCGACATAACATTTTATAAATGAAACCGGATACTTCACCGTTCGAATGGTCTAGAGTTGATGTGTCGTTCATAGTGTTAGTTTCCTAACATTTCAAGGATCTCTCTGTACAGGGTATCTCTGTTACTTATTAACTAAGACTCTAATATATTTGAGTGTATGTGACTCGTTAGCTAACTGTGTGTATGCTCAACGTAGAAATTGATGCAGAGGTGCAACACTTAAAGTTACCGTTCTTAACCAACGCACGGGACTGAAGGGATAAAAATAAATAAAAATGTGTGGGGAGATAAAATAATTACATAGGTAATAAGCATTTAATAAGTTTGGGAGATCTTAAAGAGTGAATGCATGCAAGTCGACTAGTCTTTCTCCCCTATACTTGCACGTCAGAATTGCTACGGTCCTCCACCAAGTTTCCTCTGGTTTCAACCTTCGCTAGCATAGTCCACCATCTTTCGGCTCTGAACGTGTACGCTCTTGCTCCGCCCCGACGGTGCACATAGCACAAGGCCACATGTATACGTCATGGGACGGGCCGGTGATGCACCTGCTGCTCGCAGCTTGGAATTAATGAGCAAAACAACTCGATATCACCTCAACCTGGACAAGCCAAACCTTTACCTTCACTGCGCCTTTGGGTTTCGTAAAGCCCAAATACAAAATTTGTTACCAAGACAGTAGAAGTGGTTGAGTAATCCTCTTTCGTATGCACAGCACCGGTTTTTCTATGTGAATGGCCAGAGCTTCAGCGAAAGAAAGAAGACGAAACCGTATTGCCTTTGATAGGTTATTTCTGACTGTGTAGATTACTTTGAAGGAGGCGTCTGTTGAAATGAAATGATCAGTGTTAACCAGGTGATCATTTCCTTTAACTTAACATGTACAAGGGCATTATACCGTGCCAGTTCTTGCAGATGCCTGAGTCACCCTTCTGTGTTAGCTTGATAAGTTAGCCTTTCTTTGAATCCGTAGGTTTCTTTCCAAACCTTTTGCAATAATGGCGTGAGCAGATCTGCCGCAGTCTCAGGGTCTGTCTTCAGTGCTTCTGGAGGAATACCGTCTGGTCCTACTGCCCTCCCTGGCTTGCGTATGTTGATCGCACTCAGGATTTCTGCTTTCCTTAGAGGGTTGGTGTCCGCTGGCAGGCAGTTCTGTGTGTGCTGTTGGTGGTGGTGTATTTCTGGGCGAGTTGTAGATGCTGGTCGACTCAAGAATTTTATATATATATAGACATATATCTGAATGTGGAAGGCCAAGTAACTAAGTTCTCTAATGTATTTGTATATATTTTTTATTATCTCTCTTTTGCCTGATCTCTTTTTGTAGGATAAGAATCGTCCTCCTGAACTAGTGCGTGTTTTCCTTCCTGGTCGCAAAGTATCGTCTGATTTAAAGCGAACTCAAATTCTGCACCCACAACTTGGTGTTAAAATTAGTGCTATTGTGGAATTTGCCGATAGACCTAGCGCGTTGGAAGCTATCAACTTGGCTCGTTCACACTGGGGGAAAATATATGCTTATCTTTTAAGTACGCTAAGAGTACCCATAGTTGTTTTTACTTTTGCTGTATTTTCATTTTCGTTAGTTAACAAATGTGGACTTTAATTAGTTCGTATGCTAGGTAATTTGCGGTTGTTACATAACTAAAGGATCTTAGTAACATCTGTTCACAGTTAGGTGTGTATTCCGAAACACTATTGGCACAGAGCTAGACATTACTGCACAGAGTTTAAAGCTGTGGTATATCACGAGTTGGCCGAATTGAAATTTAATAAGAGGAAAGAAAATTTAATGCTCTATAACTCGCGGTGGAAATTGTTTAATGAATCACTTGAAGAGAAAATATAAATATGCAGGTGCTTACACTGTAACTTTTGAAGCGTAACACCTGAATTTTCCATCCATTGCAGAACAAGCCTCACTGGGTAATAGCTCCAAACTGCAGTATTAATGTTTGTTTTTAATGATCATAATATGGTAACTGTCGGTACATGGCACCAAATTCTTTAATTTTTAATCTTATTTATTCAAAAATAATTTCTCACAAGAAAATAATATGAATCGAAAAACCATATAGTTAAATCAATCTATCCACAAGAGTCACAGTGTATTACTCTTGCAAATAACACACCGTGTTCACTTTGCATAGCACTCACACATATTTATAAATAGCTGATATTTCTGTATGTTGAGTTTCGAAGTGCGTAGTAGTTTCTTAATCAGTGATTGTTTTTTCCCCTTTGCAAGCTCATGGAAACAAGAAACTTGCGGCAACTACCCAAAAGAAAGAGTAAGTTCAATTTGCATTTTATCCTACATAAATTCATTTAGAAATTAAATGTAATCGCATTAAGTATCTGGTTCCTACAGCAGAACTAAACTGTATCTTATGTTGAGTTGACAACATGTACATAGTTCTAGTTGTCTTGATTTATGTCAATTGATCATAGAAAATGAAAACAGTCCGTGAAGTCATTGACTACTGGTTTAAGCCGTGTACGGTGGCTCAAGTAGAGTTCGCAGGATGCTTGCTCCATTTGAAGACCGTGCTCTTGGTTTATTTATTAGTTATCACGTTTTCGCTCTTCTGTTCTGTGTGCATGTCAGGGTGGATCGATGCGTTTGTGTGTAAACCTCTACGTTGACTCATCAACCAAGCCATCCTTTATGGTTTCAAAGGATAATAAAACTGCATACAAGTGTGCCTTAGCCATTAACGTTCAAAAGTAGAGGTGTTTTCACTGGGTTTTTTCGGCGCTGCGCTCTCAGTGTAATTTTGCGTTAATTCGCGAGTAACCGACATCATACTATCTTATTGAAAGCACTAGGGTATACGGAATGCATAATTCGATCATCTGCAAAACATAGTAAGCATTGGGATGTATCAGTTTGCATGACTACTGTTTATGTACACCCTATTGGTTTTATTAAATGGAAGACAGCAACTATGGAACCGGAAAATCTCAATGCGATAATATATGCATTTCATCTTTGGCTTTCACAAAGTTTAGATTGAGAGCATCCAAATGATAACCTAAAATGACTAGTATTACAATCAAGGTATCCAAGCTCATGCAGTGGTAATGCCTTCTTCTCATTGGTTATAGACGAAACACAGCCTAGCTGAAGGATGTGGAAAAGGACTAGAATTCAGGATCCAGTGCTTGGAATTTGAGTGTTTAAGCCAATGATGGTGGTTGTAAGTAATTAATATGCAGTAGAGGGCTCTCAGCGTACCTTTAAGAGCAGCTAATTGGCCGAACAGTATACATCTTTAAATCAATTCAGTATACGTACTTTATGTATTCACTTTGAGTGTTGTTAAGCAGAAATAATATCAGAGATTCTTTCCATATGATGCTATCAGTGGAATCTTAAGATGACGATGGAAATGTATTTCTATTTGGAGGTAAATGATACGCATCAAATCAAGTGAATTTGAGTTCTAACAGATAGTACAGCTACCCGATGATGATCAATTCGAACTAGTGCGTGGTTGTTATCGTTAGGAAGTGTAAAATGTGGAACCTACATTTCTATGATTCGTTGTTTGCTGTATGACATTAGATAAAGTAGTGTTTTCAGTCTATGAGATAATTTTATCTACACATGTTTGTCACTGCGTCGTGGAAGTGAATCAATAATTTCGAACTGAACTTGATCAAGCCAGTGTCGATTATTATTATTGTTCCCTTGGGTTCCTAGTGGAACATAGGGCTTCAACTGCACGCCTCCACTTGCTTCTGTCTTCTGCTGTACTTTTCACCTGCATCCATGTTAGTCCATACTGTTCCAACTCTTCTTCACACGATCTCCTCCATGTCACCCTTGCAGACGTCCCACTCGCCGCTTCCCTTTCGGGTTCCACTCGAGCACTGGCCTGACGCGCGATGTCACCCAGCGGCCTCCTCAACGAGTGTCCAATCCATCTCCATTTTCTCCTGCATATTTGTTGGGCGATTGGTTCTTGTTTTGTTTGTTTGTTCCCATAGTTTCTTGTTGGTGATTCTTTCCGGCCATCTGATCTTCAGTATAGAACGAAGACAGCTGTTGATAAAGGTCTGCAACAGGCTGTTGGAAGTATTCTCTGTGACCCGCCAAGTTTCTGATCCGTATAGAAGAACTGACTGACTTGACGTTTGGATTGAAAATCCGAATTTTGTTGTTGATGCTGAGTGACTAAGATTTCCAGATTGGTTTCAGGTTGATGAATGTGTTTCTCGCCTTCCCGATTCTCGATTTGACATCCTCGTCCGTTCCTCCTGTGGTTGAGACAATGCTCCCTAGATAAGTGAAAGAAGTAACCTCTTTCAAATCCCTCCCGTTGATGGTGATTGGCACTGGATGTTGCTGTTGTTGTTGTTGGTTGGTTGGTTATTTTCATAACCTTGTCTTGTCTATGTTCACCTGGAGTCCTGTCTTTGCTGCTTCTTCAACCAGTTTATCGGTTTTCGCTTGTAAGTCTTCGATTTTGTGTGACATCAAACATAAATCGTCCGCGAAATCCAGGTCTTCTAGGTTCTTCACGTCGGTCCAGGATATCCCTGTCTTCTCGTTTCCCACTGTCTGACGCATAATCTAGTCCACCACAATTAGGAATATCATTGGTGATAATAAGCACCCTTGTCTGACTCCTGTGTTCACTTTAAACGCCTCACTGAGTTTTCCGTTGTGGATCACTTGACATGTGCCGTTGTCGTACAGCTGTTGGATAAGGTTGATGAATATTTGGGGTACGCCGTAGTACTCGAGTAGTTTCCAAATTACTTCGCGGTCAACGCTGTCGAAGGTCTTCTCAAAGTCTACGAAGTTGAGGTAGAGGTTTGATGGCCATTCCATGCTTTGTTCCATGATGATGCGTAGAGTTGCAATTTGGTCAGAACATGATTTGCCTTTCCTGAATCCACCTTGTTCTGGTCGGAGTTCTGTATCCATTGCGTCCTTTATTCTCTCCAGGATGATGCGACTCAGGATTTTACTTGGCGTCGACAGGAGCATGATTCCTCGCCAGTTCTTGCAGAGTCCTAGGTCGCCCTTCTTTGGTAGTTTCACCAGGTAACCTTTCCTCCAGTCAGTAGGCACCTTTCCCTCTTTCCAGATCTTTTGCAATAATGGAGTCAGCATATCTGCTGTCGTCTCTGGGTCCGCTTTCAGTGCTTTCGGGGGTATTCCATCTGGTCCAGCTGCTTTTCCAGCTTTCAGAAGCTTGATTGCATTCAAGACTTCAGCTTTCGTTGGAGGATTGGTGTCAACTTGCAGTTGTGTACGTGCTGTTGTTGGTATTTCTGGACGGGTTGTAGGTGGTGGTCGGTTCAAGAGTCCTTTGAAGTGATCCGCCCATTGTTTAATCTGTCTTTCTTCTTTGGTAATTGGGTTCCCTTGGCTGTCTTTTATAGGTTTCACTTGTGTTGATCTCTTCCCGGATAGAGACTTGGTTATCTGATATAGAGTCCTCAGGTCCCTTTTGCCTGCTGCCTTCTCAGCTTCAGTAGCCAGGTTGTCGTAGAATTGTCTTTCCTGGCACTCTTCTTCACTTCTTTGTCCAGTGCTGTGTAAGTTGAGCTCAGCGTCTCCTTCTCTTGTCCGTCTTTGCATTGAATCATTTTCTCTTTCATCATTCTCCTCTCCTCTATTAGCTTCCAAGTGTCCGTTGAGAGCCATTCCTTGTCTTGTCTCTTCTTTCTTCCTAAAACCGTTGAACACGTTTCGTTGAAAATCACCTTCAGAGAGTTCCAATGGTCTTCCACGGATGATTCCTCAGTGGTGCCACGTAGTGTTTCCTGCTTTGCTCTGACAGTTGCAGTGAAAATGTCCTGTGTGATTGTGTCCTTCAGTTTTTGAGTGTTGAACTTGCATTGTGGCCTATCCCCAGGTATCCTCGAGGCTTTCAGCTTCACCTTGAAAGTCCCTTGTACTAGATAGTGGTCTGAACCCACATCTGCTCCTCTCCTCGATCTTGTGTCCAGTAGGCTCCGTCTCCACTTCCTTGAGATTGAAATGAGTCCTATCTGGTTTTTGGTGTGTCCATCTGGTGAAATCCATGTTGCCTTGTGTATATCCCTGTGTTTGAACACACTGCCACCAATCAGCAAATCATTGAAGGCGCAGAAGTGTGAGAAGAGTTCACCATTTTCGTTCATTTCACCGAGGGCCTCACGACCCATGGTGAGTTCTCTTGCTGTATTGTCTCCTCCCAGTTTCGCATTCATGTCACCCATCAGTATTTTGATATCGCTCTTTGGGACGTTGTCCATTACTGTTTGTAGTTGGCTGTAGAAATCCTCCTTCTTCTATTGTTCTGAGACGTTTGTAGGCGCATAGCATTGAATGATTGTAACCTTCCTTCCTTTTGAGTTGAACCTGGCTATCATTATCCTGGAGGAGGTTGGTTCCCACTGCATGAGAGCTTTAGCCGCTGTTGGTGACATCATGATGGCTACTCCCTCGGTGTGCTCGTGATCGTCCTCTGGGTGACCGGAGTAGATTATTGTCTCTCCAGTTGGTAGTTGGCTCCTTCCACATCCGTTCCATCTGCTCTCGCAGATTCCCAATACTTCTATTTTATATCTCCTCATTTCTGCGGCTACCTGGGCAGCCTTTCCAGTTGCGTACATTGTACGAATATTCCACGTCCCCATCCTTATTTTTGCTTTCATCGAAAGAAGGCACATCGGCTGACTGGCTTCCCGAAAGCTTTCACCAGCCTGCGTCATTTCACTTCCCCGATTCCAGCGAAAAATAAGGTTATTGTTTATATTTTTAGAATTTTGAATATATTTGTGCGTTGAAGTTTTAGTAGCAATTTGGTTAAGTTTTGGGGGTGAAGTTGCTAGCACCACGCCCCAACCCTCCCTCTTTATCCGGGCTTGGGACCGGCTAGAATACTAGTGACCTAGTAATCTAGGCGAGGTTAGCCAATGTCGATGTCTCATTTAATTGTTTTACACTGAAGCCATTTTCAGTCATCACAATAAAGTTTGGGACAGATAAATCTAGTCTCTGTGCGCTTGTTATCGATACACACTATGGAGTTTTCATTTTAAACATAAGTGAATCAGCTAGTGATAGATAGTTACGAATTCAATTCATCATGCAGCAAGTCTTAGTCATTATTTGGTATATGGATTTGTGAACTTTCCATATATTGGTAATGAGCCACAAAATTCCCGGGGATCAAAATATACGTAATTTTTTCATGTTTGATTACCTTATCGTTACTTGAAATTTTGATGAACAAATGTAGTGTATTACGCCATTTGAACACATTCTAGCTTCTGTGATAATTTTTGTTTATACTTTCAGTTCTAAACCTGTGACAAGTGAAAACTCAGATATGACTCGCAGACCACTTTTTCGGGACATTGGCAGCTTTGAGAATCAAGTCCGTGTGATACACCTTCGTGAACCAAGCAGTCCTCCGACAGACAACAGTGTCGGCTTTTATCCTGGTTGGCGAGAGGCTGTTCGATACAATCGAGATTATTTTAGAGATGGGATAGTATGGAGCACTGTAGCTTGAACTACCAGTGCTTTTAAGACCTGGAGATTCTCATAGAGATATTCTACTTATAATTCTCAGTTTCGTCTGTTTTTTATCACTGCTGTTCTCCAGAACCTAAACCATAATGAATTATTAAAATATGTTGATTTATATGCCTAGAATATGCCCTATGTCTATTTTATCAGATATCTACTTCCAATAAAGGAACAATAAAAGATGTAAAGTCCATTTGTGTGGAATGTACATTTTGTGTTCTCCTTATTCAACAAGTGTATAGGTATGTGTATGAAACGTGGAAGTGACAAAGGATATGTTAGGTTAGGTGGCACTAATATGTAGCAAGTATATACAGTCTCAAGTAATAATGGTGAAATGGGACAAGTACTTAACAATTCACCAGGTTCCCCAATTTATATTATACTTCAGTAAAAAATTCAAAGTAATATATCTATCCCGCTAGCTGCGCAAATTAGTTTCGGGGATACGTACTCATAGGGAATACTTCAGCATATATCAATGAGTAATAACGGTTCATAAGATCGATTTTGTTAACCCAGGCTCACAACGCGTACGAAAATTTTCAGCTGTTAAGAGTTGTTGCTCAAGGTAATTAGTCTTAGTTCGCAACTATTCACTTATTTAAACACCCTCAGTATAATCAGAACAAGAAAAGTCTTAGCGAAGAATTGTTCCCAATAACTTCTTCAAGCTCCACAGTTATTAATCTTTGAATGCTGGAATACAATAGCCAGTAGAAGTTAATCAGAATTAATAAAAAACAAGACAAGTAGTTTGGTGCAGAGTATCTTTTTGGTGAATTCATTTTCGTTAGCTGTACAAACGCACTTATATACAATTTCCTCGTAAAAGTGGATGGTAACAAAGGGCCAAATCATCATAAAAATAGTCAAATAAAGGTGACAGAATTATGAAATGAGATAAATAATTTTATGCGTAAGTTGCAATCAGAATGCATATAGAAACAAAGGAAATTTAGTGTTACCTAAGAGTTCTGGAAGACAGTTCCACTAGAAAGGATCAGAGAAACGTAATAAGTAAAACATGCTGAAAGCAAAAAGGTCCTTACCATGTTAACCTGAGTGGATGCGAGATTTTCTTCGTATGCGCATCTCTCTTTTTCCCATCTGGGTGGCTAGAGCTTCAACAGTGTAAAAGAGGGGAAAGCGACTCATCATAGGTAGGTTACTTTTCGTTTTGTGAATCACATTGAAGGAGTTTGCTGACAGTGGCCAGTGTCTACAAGATCTTCAGTTATTGCACTTTTTATTAAACCACTGCTACCTTTCAGCAACCACGCGCAATAGTGTTCATAAATCGTTTTAGGCAGGATTCGCGTCAAATGACCAATATACCGGGGTCCACAAGAACTGATATATACAAATAGAAGTGGTTAGATGCGAGGGAATAATATTCTGACTCTAGCAACAAATAGATATATTGTATTCTGTTGCTATGGCCGTATTGAACTGTGGGAATATGTGAGAATAATATTCCGTTGGAACACATTGTCTGTATCACAGCACCGCACTCGTCCCCCCATTAAATCATTGAGACTGAAGTCGGCTTGATCTTCTATGTGCTGGGGTCTTCCTTGCTTGTCTCACTGTATCCATTTCTGGAGCTCGCTGACGTTCACGCTTCTTTTTGTCTGCGTTTTTGATGGTATATATGTGACACCATCTCGCGGTGACTGAATGATCCTTCTCACTTTGGAAGTAGTTTTCGAAGCCATGGTGCGTATCCGTCGGTGTTTCGCCTATCTCTACATTTAACTTGATCTCGGACGCTGGGGACTTCCCCTTTACCCACTGTTCGGATTTCACAGCGTAAATCTTCTGCTTTCATTTTACTTTGTTGATTGCTGCTTTTCGCTCCGTGCACCATCCCGTCAAACTCCACTGTTGGTGGTAGGATCAGGTCTTGTTACCTATCGGTAGTCGTGGTTTCCTCCCGTATATCAACCAGAATGGTGTTCACTTGGGCGGACGCACGATGCGCTAGAAGAATCAGTGAGAGCTGTGTCTCCCAGTTACCTCTCTTTTTGGCCAGCCACTCTTTTAGGGTATGGTTATTTCTCTCCGTCAAGCCGTTCGTTTGTGGATGATATGGCGTTGTTCTAATTTTCTTGATACCTAGCTCTTGCAACCGAACTTTAAACTCTTCACTTTCAAATCACGGACCGTGATCTGTCAATATCACTTTCGGTGCACCGTAGTTTGCAACGATATGTCGAATCACTGTTTCTGTCACCGTTTTCGCTCGTTGATCGGGGATCGCGACTGCGTCTAGTCATCGTGTGGCATGTTCTATCATTACCAGAAGGTACTTATTGCTATTGGACGTCTGTAGTAAGGGTCCCATTACATTTACAGACCACTGCTGTCACTGGAATCGACTGCGGAGGTGGTCGTATGTCTTGGTCACCTTTCATAAGCTGACATTGCGTACACACTGTTACGTACTACTCGATGTATTCTCTGATACCTGACCAGTACATGCTTTGTCGCAGGAGATCGTTCGTCCTAGCAACACCTATGTGTGTTAGTTGGTGACATTCTTGTATCATCTCTTGGCGTACGCATTGGGTATTACGGCTAGGCAGCTTCCGTCGTCCTCCCGCCACGTCAACATTCTTCAGGTTTTCGAGCTTAGCCGGTCTTTATGTTTGAGTAGGAGATTTAGCTCACGATTCGCTGTGGGCCGATTCACCTTTTTTACGTTAGTTATCACTTGTATGACAGTTTGTAGAGTGTCGTCGGACTTTTGACTCTAGACAAGTCTTGCTCTAAGGCATTTACACCATGTGCTATTTCAGGTAACTTTACGTCATCTTCGCTTCTAGATAAAATATCTGGTAATAAGTTCTCTTCTCCTGGAACATGGGATATCGTGAAGTCACACTCTTGCAGGTGCAACATCCACCGTGACAAATTCCCACGTGGGCATGTGGCGGTTCTCAGCCACCGTAACGGCTTATGATGAGTCTCTACGTGGAAGCGTTGATCAGGTAATTAGGATCCCCATTTGTCTAACGCCCACACAGTCACCAAACATTCCTCCTCTATTGTTGAATACTTCTGTACCGTGTGCGTTAGAACACAGCGTATTCGACGACTTTGTCTGAGTAGTGTGCCTATTCTGTAGTCGCTGGTATCCATAGACACTATAAGAGGCTTTTCCAGCACAGATAGTCGCAGCATAACTCTCTGGTGATCCATCAGCTGTTCAATGTGATCGAATATCTGGTTGTCGGCATCTGAAGGTCTTCGACAGATAACGTTGACCACGAAGTAATTTGGAAATTACTTCAGCACCACAGGGTGCAGTGCCCGAATCTTCATCAATCTCATTCAACTGCTCGCTATATGACAGTGCCACCGGTCAGATGGCTCACAAGGGAAAACCCAGTGAAGCATTTGAAGTGCATGCAGGAGTAAGACAAAGCTGACTGCCTGCCTATTATCACCCATGATATTCCTAATTGTGGTGGACTACATTATGCGACAGACTGTGTGTCGGGAGTGAAAAGACAAGAACATGCTGGACCACCGACAAGAAGACTCTAGAGGATCTGGATTTTGCTGACGATTTAAGTTTAATGATGTCACACAGACTCGAAGACTTGCAGGCGAAAACCAACAAACTGGTAGAAGAAGCAGACAGTGAAGACAGCACTCCGGGTGAACAAACAAAAGACCGAGGTGATGAAGATAACCAACCAACAGCGACAACAACAACAACCAGCACCAATCACCATCAACGGGAGAGATCTGACAGAGGTTTCTTCCTTCACTCATCCGACTACGAAGCACAGTTCCAACCACAGTCGGGACGGATGGAGATGTCAAAACCAGCCAGCCAGTTAGTCAGAATCGGAAAGGCAGGATACGCCTTCATCAACCTGAAATCAGTTTGGAAATCTTCTGCACTGCACTCCGCCTCAGCACAAACAATCACATTCGGATTTTCAACACAAATGTGAAGTCAGACAGTCAGTCAGTTCTTCTATATGAGTCAGAAACTTGCACTGCGAGTCATGAAGGGGATTTCCAACAGGCCACTGCAGACTTTTATCAACAGCGACCTCTGCTGGCCGGTTTCATACTGACGATCAAATGGCCAACCGACTAGAGAGAATTAGCAACAAGAAACTTCGACCGGGAACAAACCAACCAAGAGCTGATTGCTCAACAAATATGTAGGAGAGAGTGGAGATAGATTGGGCAATGCAGGTCATCGGTCGAGTGGAATGCCAGTGGAGAACGACGAGTGGGTCGTCGATGTGAGGGCGACATGGAGGAGATCGTGCGAAGAGTAGATGAGAGATGATGGTCAATCGTGGGGCCAGTTGAAGAGGACAGCAGAAAATAGGTGGAAGTGTAGATGCCTTGTTGAAACCCTATGTTCCACTCGGCACCCAGTGGAACAATAATAATTATCCCTTGTAGTATTTTTACTCTCGATTTTCAGTACAGTCCGGTGTTTTCTGATACCGCCTGGAAAGATTTAAGTAATTTCTTGCTGTAATATTACGGAACTGAACATGGGATTTCTCATATTCATTCTTTGAATCATATAGGTGATAATGTCGCGCTGCAGAGGCCATTAGGATGATTTCCCTTTGAATCCTAAATGCGTATGAATAGACATTCCGTACACTGTGGCCAAGCAGGTAGCTCAGTGTTTTGCTGAGCACGTTTACCTAATGAAAATTACAGGTGTGAAGCATATACCTGAAGAAGCTGGTACTAAAAGCTTTGAGTTCACCAAAGGAAAGGTGAAGTATCTTTCATACCATTGTTCCATCTTATTCACAGGATAATGTCATTTTGGTTTCAGGCAAACCAGGGATTACTGCAGAAATGGGAAGTGAGGAAAATATTTGCTTTCGATCATACTGTGATTTCACTGATGATTTCATTTCACAACTTAGATCCAGCAATTTCGGCGTATTCAGATGCTAGACAGTCAATCACGAAACACATTGGATATCTTATCTGAATATTGTTTGCAAGTACTGTCCCTACGCATATTGTTGAGGCAGATATACCCTGCTTTATACTTTTAAATAAAGGTACTGTGGAGTAGTTTGTCGGAGAGTCAGTTTTGTTGCTTGAACTTTTGATGTCTACTTTGTCTTCGTCTTTCGTAATGTATATATATATATATATATATATATATATATATAGTTATTTTCCGCTCAGCATCCCGATACATATTGAAGTAAAAATGTCGTATTTCCAGTTCATTGCATTTCGTTTCTCAGAATTCAAAATCAGTTAGATTTGTCGTCGTTCGTCCGGTGAAAAACGACAGTATAGTCGCTATCCCAAACACTTGGGTAGTGTAAAGCGATTTACATGCATAAAACGGCAATTTACAACGTTTAGACCTTGTGTTTACTGGAGATGGATGCTCATTATTCGAATTCCGTCAACTTCAGGATTATAGTAAATTGGAATACTTCTATTGTCATTTTTCTGGATACATTTGAGAATGTTCAAAAGTTTATACAGCTTTTGAGAGGCTGTGGTAAAAGCAATAAAATTGTGTACACTAACGACGACACCTTGCCAATCCCTAGTAATAGACCGAAAAGGTTAATGCCGTTTTTCGTGTCTTACATAATTTTTACGGATGTAAAGAAGACTGACAAAGACTTTCTTTACAACTCAATGGATATTGATGTAGCTACCAGAGAAGCTGTTTGCATCAAGCCACAATATCCACTTTTCACTGTATTCGATGACTTTGTCTTCACGATTCCAACGTGTTAACTTGCTTAACTGTCATTCATTTTAAGTACTTAAAATGCCCTGGACTTCCGTTCTTCATCTCTTATTAGCAAAAAGACGACAACTGTATCTAACCAGTAGGAATATATGTGAAATTTTGTATAGCGAAAATATTCATTCAGACATCTATAAAACAAAATAATTGAGCAAAGAATATCCTTTTCGATAATTTCCTCTTCTGGCTCTAAAATTATATATATCTTCATATACACAGAACACTTGCTTTAGATTTTCCTCTAACGCAGCTGCCGATGAGATGTTGACTCTTCATAGGCAAGGGCTAGGTAAGTACTTACAAGTATTATTTATTTCAAGAATCGTCAATGGAAATCATCAATTTGTGTCCGAAAATCCTGAACATTGTTACTATTAACATCTAATCTCGATTGCAAAGCAACCTTTCAGTCAACGATGACCATACACTGAATTTCTGATCGGGAATGAAGATCACTCAGAGATGCTAGAAACATCTTTAAGAAACGACAAGTAAATGAGGATATTTGTGAGTTTGCGTACTTAATTCATATTTCCTGCTGACGGCTGAAATGGTTAGCTGCCTTCAGGGTGATCTAAAGTTGTCACTTAAAGTCATGATGCACACTGTTCTCAAACCTGAAGTGGGCTTGAAGTTTGCAGTTCAGGGGACTATGAATAAGTCCAGCATTGTGTCCTATGCCTTCTACAAAATTATAAGATGTAAGATTCATTAATGAAGTGTTTATTTCTGTAGCTGTAATTATGGTGGAGTTCTCTGGCCAACTGATGTTGTTAAGAGAGGTTGGCGACATTATGGACAAAGTCATGAAATCTTACTTTGATAATTTGAAGAATCGTGTCAACAGGAGTGTGATAAAGAAAGGAGGCCAGGTAATCTTGCAAAACTCTTACTTACTTTTAAAAGACATGGTTTAATCGATTTGAAGTAATCACGACAATAATTCTTATTTTTAAGCAAGTGGAAATAACCTTGGGAAGAAACAGTGACAGTTATGTAAGTACACCTTTCTAAGTATAAATGCTGATAATAAAATGACCGGACGTTTTCTCCGACTAATTTTATATTTTGCTTATTTTCAGGACTTCACCTGACTGATTTGTAGTAATGTTGTAATGCAATATGATAAAATAAAATTCCTCAAATAAAAACAGTAATTTCTTTCTGCAAACTCAGTGATTCGCGTAGGCATAGTATATAGTAAATGATAGCTAGCAGCAGTGTTTCCATAGTGCCTTCAATATGCCAGTTTCTTCGGAAAAAGACTTAGGGATTGTCGAGTACGCATAGGCAATGACGAAATGATGTTATCCAGTACTAATTCAGGGCTGAAATCACTCCGGAAAAAGTGCCAGTATGCGCTGAACTAAGTCTGACTGTTCTAAAGTAATGAAAGTCAGTGTTGAATCATGGTTGAGAGGATTGAAATAAGGCTGATAAGGAAACGCAGTAGGTTCTGGGCTACTTCTGAAAACGCCTAGAAAAAGCTTTTTTTATTTTATTTAAACGCATTAGAACTTGGTACAATATGGCACCAAGAAGGATGCGCCACACAATAATAATAAAACAACATAGATGAAAAAAATGGAAGGAAGGCAGGAAAAGAAAAAATATATATATAAGTAGAGAACGAATAAAGAACTTCATCTGGAAGGAAAACACTCATTCTTAACAGGTTCAAACAGTGTTCGTTAACTATCATCGGGAATGGAAGAAAGAAGGAAATCGCAACACATTCGCCATTGATTACGATTCTTGGCCATATCCGATAACGTTTCGAGCCATCGATTTGAGCTATCTCTCAGACCCCAACCAGGGAGTCGTGACACACCAACCGATGCTAATCTAGCACAGAAATCCTTCATCCCACGACGCCACGTCATGGGCTGACCACCTCTCCGCCTTTTCCATCCCGTCCCAGGGCTAGCGAACAGAGACCTGTACGGAAGCCTCTGGGGTGACATTCGCAGCACATGTCCAAGCCACCGGAGCCGGTGTTTCCAGATGACGACATTCAATGAATGGTGATCTCCACTGTGTTCAAACACACGCCGCCGAACCTCAGAATTACTCACGCGATGATGCCATCGAACGCAAGCAATCCTGCGGAGACAGCGGTGATCGAACACGCAGAGTCGCCTCACATCCTCAGCTCGGAGAGGCCAGGTTTCACAGGCGTAGAGCAGCGCAGCCCGCACCGAAGCATTGTATACCCGACCTTTGACAGCCAGGCTAACGTCGCGACGGCGCCAGAGGTGGCTCAAGTTGATGTATGCCACCCTAGCTTTCATTATACGGTTGGAAATCTCATCCGTCACCCCTCCGCCAGCACTCACACAACTACCTAGGTACACAAACTTATCGACAACTTCAAGCGGTTCACCCGCAAGAGTGAGTGCAGGTACAGGCTCCTGCCAATCTTGTAACAGTACTTTGCACTTAGATGGTGCAAAGCACATACCATACTTACAGACACTGATCGCCAACTGATTAAGTGCGATTTGGGCAACCTGCATGCCATCGCACAGTAAGACGATATCGTCTGCATACTCGAGGTCGAAAAGTCTATCTCCAGGTAGCAGATCTACACCACCTTCACGCACATCCTTCAGAGCTGACTCCAGAATGTCGTCGATGGCAAAGTTAAAGAGAAATGGCGAGATTGGGCAACCCTGTCTAACCCCACTGTTGGTTGGGAACAGTGGTGATAGTTGGTTGTATGCCCTCACTCTACCTGAGGTGTTTCTGTATAGGGCTTTCAAGATGTTAACAAATTTCTCAGGTACACCTCTCTCTAACAGACAGTTCCAGAGCACAGTTCTGTCCAACGAATCGAAGGCAGCCCTAATATCAAGAAACACAACGATCGTTGGCCTGCAATACGTGTGGCGGTGTTCCAACAACTGACGAAGGGTGAACACATGATCAATGCATCCACGACCTGAACGAAACCCAGCCTGCTCTTCGCGAATCAATCCTTCACGTATTTTGCACAGTCTGCGAAGCATGACAGCAGCCAATATTTTAGACGCAACTGGTAACAGACTGATACCCCTATGGTTGTCACACGAATTACGTCGACCCTTTTTAAAGATGGGGACGATAATGGCTTCGTTCCACATTGATGGTACGCTCTCTGTCTCCCACACCCTCCTGAACAACCTAGTTAGAGCCATTATGAGAGTCTCGCCACCCTCTTTAAAAAGAGCCGGGGGTAATTTGTCTGGGCCGGGCGCCTTATGGCGTTTCAGAACTTGGAGTTCCTTACGGACCTCCGCTTCGGTGGGTGGGTCGGTACTAACCGACCAAGGAGCACTCGGGCTAGTGATAGTAGACAATGAAGCTGGTGGCCAGCTGAACTGCTTCCCGAAGTGCTCTGCCCAGCGTTCCAGGCGTCTCTTCAGGCTGGTAATTGGAGTGCCGTCTGCCTCACAGACCGTCTCGCTGACACCTTTTTTCTTGCTGCCGGTGGCTCGTATGAGTTGGAACAGCTTCCGACTGTTGCCAGATGCAGCAGCTGACTCCATCTCATACGCACGTTCTGACCACCAGGCTTCGCGGTCCTTACGTAAACACTGTCTAATCTTGCGCGTGAGCGCCTTTCGCTTATTGCTGTATTCGCTGCCAGCCGGAATGGACCGGCGTTCATCCATGAGTTGCAAGGAACTCGTAGAAACCCAGTGGTTGTTAGCGGAGCATTCTTTCAAGCCGCAAGCGGCTACACTCGCCTTTTGCATGGCACCTTGCACATGAAGCCAGTGTTCATCTATACTACTTGGGGGGTTGCTGGCAAGCATTGTTTTCAACTCATTCTGATATTTCAAAGAAGTAGCAGGTGCTACTAGTTTGCTCACATCAACGCTTAGACGACGGTTTTTACGAACTCCACCAAATCGCAAGACGAACTTGGCACACACTAACGCATGATCGGAGTCCAGGCATGTGCTCCAGAAGGAGCGACAGTCTTGTATGCATCCTCGCCACCGGAAACTGACAGCGATGTGATCGATCTAAGTCCAAGCTTGGTTCGCAGAGGGAGGACGCCAGGTAGCGCTACGGCGATGGCTGTGCCGGAAGTTGGTGCTGGCTAGAAATAGGTTGTGATCCGCGCAAAGCTGCAGAAGACGGTCCCCATTATCTGACCTGCGACCATGTAGTCCCCACTGACCACCTAGACGACTCTCCTCTGAGCTTAGACGCCCGACCTGTGCATTCAAGTCCCCAGCTAGCACTACGATATCCCTCCGACCCGCCTGTTTCAACAGATCGCTCAGTTGGTAGTAAAACTCATCCTTCATTGCATCCGGGCTGCAATCCGTCGGTGCATAGGCAGAGACAACAAATAGACACCTAAAAAAGTACACGATGCTGAATTAGTGTGTCATGCTGAAAACCAGCAGTGAGTTCTAGTTTGTGCGCATTATCAAACCATTTCAGAATTTACTCATCATAGAAAGTCAGAGTTGGTTTGGAATTTGAGAGATTTACTTCAGCATTATTGTAAGCTTGGGTCAGATCCAATGAAGAACTCAGATGAGTCAATGACGTAAGCAGTTTCATTCCTGACGCTCTCTCTTCTCAATTTGATAAATGAGTCACTTTGTGTGTCTACTGTTGACAATGACTCCACCATATCCTGAACGGAAGCGAATAGTCAGCACCGGAATGAACAGTGTACCACAAATTGTAATCTTTAACGTGTTCACTCGACATTTTCACTATCCTTTATAAATGATTAGCACGATTTCCCGATGAGTGAAGCTTCCACTCGCTTTCCTGAATTGACTGGTTGATATGAAAAACGATTGTGTGGTTTTATCAACCACGTCATCAGTCAAGCAGACGTGATTCCATTCTGTCACCTCTCCAGAAATTTCAGCCCCAAGTCATCACTGACTACCATTACTTCCGTATAAGTCAAGGGTTTGAATATATTCTTCACGTTCGGTTCTTAAAGGATGGATTTATATTCGTGCATATTTTATGTTTTGTGTATTTGCGAGTGATAGGAACGTGAATTTTTCCGGAGTATTTACTTAATATGTTGCTTTGTCTATATTCACCCAAGCTTAAAATAATTCCAAACTATTTCCAACCTATGCGTCGATAAAGACTTTTATGGTAGATGTATATTTTATTTACATAAAATAAACCTGTAGGGGACTTTCTAGCGAACTCAGTAAGACATTAAGTATTTGAATAAAAATCCAACTTAATGAGATGATAGTGTAACAGTATGTTATAAAAAATACAGTAATGAGTTATATAAAATAATCGGTTACGTGGTTATACAGTTAAAGTCCACTGCTACAAATCATTAATATAATCCACAGTAGTGTTCACTGCTGGAGTCGTGTCCACTGGTAGAAACAGTGCACCGGTAGTAGAATAGTCTTTGGATGAGGATAAGAGGTTCCTGCAAAATTCAAAGTATACAACATGGTTAGTAGTGAAACAGGTTGACAGTATAGATCAGTGCGAAGACGAAGCGGTGAGCAACAAACTGTATTTTTTAGATTTTACTGCGTCGGTGGCACAGTGGTTAGGACTCTCGCTGACCATGCACATGGTTCGGGGTTCGATACCCTGCCGACGCACACCTGATATCTATGGTCGGCCTGCAAAATTTGGGCTACCGATATCCATGCTGAAAATTCCATACTTGTACTGAAAATACGATGTGGCAACAAGCTGTAATCAAAAATGAAAAAATGAATTCCAACATGAATAGTTTTAAACCAAAAGTCGTGTACAATGTTTCTAATTTCAACATCCAACAAAAGAGTGTACAATCGTATTGTTACATACTCCACAAACCCACTATGTGCTGAAATAACGCTGATCGTTCTTAAAAAGATCACTGGACGCGTAATTAGTACGACGAAACCTAAAAAGTAGGATTTACAGCTGAAATAATGCCTTAAATGCTGAAAATGTCTTTTTGTTCTGAAGTAATGCCAGTCAGTGTAACTGCAGTTGTCGTGATTTTGGTATCTCCATGAAATGTACTAATGTCTTGTCATCCTCTTACTGCCATTGTTAATGGATAATTTTTGAGAAATTTCTTGACTACCTTTTGGAAAGACATTTAAATTTTCTACGGTGCCTTAATTGTCAAGTGGATTTTTGTTCAAGTTTAGACTTGCTACTGTTACCCATACCAGTTTTAAAGACAGTAGAATAATTGCATTCGCTTAACTCTGAGCCTTTATTGAATGCTTTTATGACCCAAAACAATTCGCTTACAAACATAGTAGATGTACTTTAGATGCTGCTGCTGCTGCTGTTTTACTTAGCATTATCTCTAGTCTAACAAAGGTGCTCATTGTGTTCGTTATGCCTTCCTAGATTACACATTTGACTTTGGCTGTTTACCTAGGGGTCTTCTGTTAGAAAAGCTTCCTGTGGCACAAACATGGTGTGGTAGGTTAATAAATGATTGCATTTTATAAATTTGGACAGTGTTATTAGAAGACTAACATTATCTGAAAAGTGTGATGTATTTGCACAATACATTACGCAAAATCAGAGCACACATTTACGTGTCAATTCAATTTATATGAAAAATAAAGGTCAATTAAAGTGCATAAAGTGACGAAGAAGGACTTAAGAATAATTAACACTATGTTTGGTTATCTAATGAGATAAGAATTACCAAGGTAGGTTAAGAGTAATAACAATGATACCTTAGTACTGCTTATCTGATTAGATAGCTAGAGGTAGCGTTAATTATTCTTCAATCCTTCTTTGTCACTTTATGCACTTTAATTGACCTTTATTTTTCATATAAATTGAATTGACACGTAAATGTGTGATCAGATTGTTCGAAATGTATTGCGCAAATACATCACACTTTTCACATAATTTCCGTGCTCTAATAACACTATTTGAAATGGTTCTATCTTATTTTTCTGATAGGAAGCAGAACGTATATATATATATATATATATATATATATACATAAATATATATAGTACGCCGATAATCTGTCTATCACTTTACAATCAGACCGTTCCAAAATGAATAGCTTTTTATTTGGAATTAATCAGTGCTCCTAGTTCAACGGTTTTAAGGTAAATTCCTCCATATCATTATCATATTGTTAATTTCACTTTCTGACACAAAACGAGATTTACATGTACAGGTTCGTCACCAAGATTTTTGCATAATAGAGAGTCCTAAAATTTGGAACTAGGTTGAATGTTAAATACCTCAGATTGTTCCTTACCCCTGATCTTCTTTATTATTATTTTTTTATAATTGTTCCCTTGGGTTCCTAGTGGAACAAAGGGCTTCAACTGCACGTCTCCACTTGTTTCTGTCTTCTGCTGTACTTTTCACCTGCATCCATGTTAGTCCATACTGT